AATATAAACATGTTAACAGGAGAAAATACTGTTTTCTTATGTTACAACCTTAATAACCAACATGATTTTTATCTTACAGTTCTGCAGGTGGTGCAGGGTTCAATTACATGTACATGATGATTAAAAAGAGCAGATATTTATCTGTACACATACACTGAGTATTGTACGCTGTACTAGAAATCCAGTATTTGTGTGTCCCCAACTGTGTGCTTTATAATTCTGCTACCTCTTAGTCCATTTAAAAAACTAGCACAAAATTTAAGTAGTTTTATTATGATTGCATCATTTTGACAAGGTAGAGAGGGACTATATATTTACAAACTGATACACATATTCAAAGCCTCTGAAAAAAACCAACCCTTTCCATATTTCATCCTCTTCTCTTTCTTCTTCCTGCTACCCTACATTCATATCCATACAGGATGTGTGGCTTTACTCCTAAAGCATCATGATAAGTAATGGAGCTTGTGTTAGGTCTTTTTAAATGAAAGCCACTGAGATTAGAAAATTGTCTCCAGGAAAACCACTGGCACCTGTAACATGGCATCCCTGATGTTGCTCTTGCTGTTAGAATGAGAGTTGAGAGAGGACTAGGAAACAATGTAGTATGTGGCCAGAGTCTGGTGTGGGACATTTCAAACATGAAAACACCAGTGCAAATACAAAGCTGAGGTTTAAGCTCAGCCTCTCCAAGGAATGTATACCAATTAATGAGATTCTGGGGAGTGGGGACAGAGGGGTTGCAAATACTCATTAATTATCTACTGCAGCAAGCAATGTTTTGGTGAACTGCAAGATGTTTTCATGAAGGGCTTAGTCCTGCCACTCTGGAATCCTATGAGAAGGGTCACTATTATCTAGAGGATGGAGGTTAGGAAGCTGCGTGTCAGTCCAGCTTCTCCTACAGACCTACTGTGCTATCACAGAAAAGTTACTTTTTCATATTCTTGCCACCTGCCACAGCCTTCATCAGAAGCACTAGGCTGTTAAATTGACTGCAGTGAATGGCACACACAAGTTAATTTATTTTACATAGTACAATAATCCCAAGTCTTGATAACCAAATGAAACAGAATTTATTAAAGAGTTATAGCAAGAGATCATGAATAAAGGGAGTTATTTGCAGTTTTGTACTAAAACAGTCAGGCAAAGCCAGCAACCAAACCTCCTAGAGGGTTAAGAATCATTAGTGTGTAAAATGGTGTGGGTTCAGCCAGATGGTCCCATTAGGTGGGCACATACCTCCTGATAGGTGTTATTTGACCCTGTATGCAAAAGAATTGTGCTATCTGAATAAATTTTGTAGACAGGTTCAAGCAATCTCTTTGAAGTAATGCATACTAACTGAAAAGAAATTAAATGGGTGTCTATCAAACCTTGCCAAGGGCTATTTACATAGTGAGGGCCATGTTAAATTGAGAAGAAACACCTCAGGATCAGAACAGATGCAACAAGAAAAAGTTCTGGTCTTTTCATTGATCAAAGAAAATACAGTATTTAAAGCACTAGGAATAACCCTTGCATTAACAACACAGAAAGTCACTGGCTTTCTGATATGGACACCATAGATGCTGCCCTCTAAAACCCATCATTTTACACAAGAATTTATCTTAATTCATTATCTCTTTGCTTCATATTGGCCCAAGTGAAGAGAAGAAAGATGAAAAATTTGCTCTCCTTGCCGCCACACACACAGTAGCCAAGAATAATTGTGGCTCATCAGATTATTCACCATTGAGACCAAACAGAGCATTTATAAAGCAGCAAAGAGAGCAATACCTGTATTATCAGCTGACTGACAGCTGACTCTGTGTCTGGTAAAAGAGAATTCTCCTGTAAGGACTAGAACTTTTCTAAATTCTAGTCATTGATAACTGTGTCACAGATTGAAGTATTGCAGTCATCCCCAGATGGGTCAGCAGGCAGAGAGCACAAGAGGCTGTGAAATGTGCAGAGTGCAACTCATCAGGTACTTTTTATACAAGAACAATGAAAATGCTTGGGCTTTCCAATTTTACAACCCAGCTAGGACTACAAGCCTAAAAATGGAAATTGAGTTGTAACTAGAGATATTGGATCACAAGCAAACAGTTCCAAAAGCAGTGAGACAAAGGCAAAATATTAAGCTGATTGGAATTTCACAAGATTGACATTGTTGCTTAAAGTGCTTGGGTTGATTACATTTAAAAAAATACAAAAAAATTAAAGCAAAACAAATAGTATTAACCACATAAGTTATTATACAAATACAGTAACAGACCAACAAAAGAAAAATAAATTAAAACAAACCCTTCTAAAAGATATTAGCAAAGAACAGGTACACAGCCAAAACTTAATAAAATTTCTAGTATTCATTCAGCTGTAAGACACTGCTCACAACTATCAGCCACATGCAGCAAAAAAGAGATAAAACAAAAAGGGTTTGCTGTTGAGAGGCATCAAATCACTGGCAGCTGCAAGCTGTCAGCTCAGATGCCAATAAATGATGTTGGAACAGAAGAGTGACTGAAATGTAATGTCTGAAGAGAAAAGGTTGTGGTAACACTTTAGGACCCATCGTGTAAGGTGAATTTCAGTTGAATTTATACTAAACCTGATAAGAAGGGAACTCCTACTTTGTTTTCTTTACTCCAACTGCTAAAGGAACAAAACTTTTCATACATAATCTAGCACTCTGAGGTAACTAAATTGTTAAAATAGAATTGACAGGAGTAATTTTGGGACCTAATTTCAAAAAAGTGTTCTGTTTCATTGGTATGGCTTTTCCATCACTCCACTCTTCTGCCTCCCTCTGCTATGTCACCTCATTAGAAATTCCATAAAATCCCGACAGCCTGTTCTTGGAAATACAGAACCTGAGTTCTGAGCTCATCCTGTAAGATAACTGATTCATCAGCACTGCAGTGCTGTGGAAACACAGACAAGACAAAAATGAGGTTTTTTCTAAATAAAGAACATCGTAATAGTATTTATAAATGGACAGTACATCTCAGCAACAGCATGGGAAACAATTGGAATACTCCAATTGTTGTTAGACCTAATATACCTAGAACCTGACACCATAAAATGTAGTCATTTTAGGGAAGCACACAATAGTATTAGAGATCTGTGCTAGCATTTTGTTTTCTAGCTGCTAGCTGAAAGTCTTTTATTGTCTTAGGTATTTTTCCATTATTTCATAAGGGACTGGAAATCTATGCATAAGCATAAGAGAAAAAGGATTATGCTTTATTTAATCAACTGAAAAACTGTACACCATAAGACTGATCCCAGTCCTGCAAAACTTGAGTGAATGTGCTTAATTTCACAAAGAAGAGTTCCTCTGCCTAGACTGGCACAATTCATACAGCTGTGACAGACAGCTTTTGGACTGAAGTCAAGACATTCAGCACACTGGAGACTGGATCCAATTTACAGAATTGTGACCACAACTTTGTTAATCAAAAGAAAATGCTCCTTAGTTTAGCCAATGTTAATATGAACTGTGTATTCCACAATGCTTCAGAGCTGATGTCAGACTACTGATGCTGGACTGGCGTGATACTAGTGCTGTGATCTTTCCATGGGCCAGCATGAATTAAAAATGCTTTTTCATACTTTGTGAAACAGCTTATTCTAGTAATTTTCCTCTCAATAACTTACTGCAATGATCTGTATGTTTTACAATCTAAAGCTGTCTTGCAGTGGAGAAAAATAGATTATTATTCTGCAGTTTAGCATTTAAATATGAATTCAAACTATTAACATTTTTAAAACCAATTTGCCCATAGGTCTATTGAAATAAGGAATATGCTTCCTAAAATTAAACTGATTTAAAAATTATTTTTATGAAAATTTACTTTTCATATAAACATGAGCCCAGAAGATTCAAATTATGACCTTAAGAATATCTGATTTTTTGAATCTTTTAAAACAAAATAATGCTGTAAGAATGTTCAGTAGTGAACTGCAAAATACAGACCTTTGGTCCAGCACTGATTAATGCTGATCTAGAAAGTGATTTCATTCACAGTAAGGAAACCTTATCCATTTTAAAAGGCCAGTCATTTTTATCCTTTTATACAGAAATTCGGAATGTTTGTAAATAAATCAATTAAAGAGGGATTTGCAGGTTTAGCTTTTCAGTGGAAAAGCTCCTGGGTCTCAGTGGGAGTTGAAGTCTGCTGTAAGATATCTATCTTCTGTATTAGAGACAGTACATTTCATTCTAACATCAATAAAAGAATAAGGGCTGCATCCTAATGCTTGTCTTCAGCCTGCATACCAGCCTTCATTCATGTGAGTGATCTCTGTAGACCACCACTCTCATTCACTTAAGTCCTCTAAGGTTACATTCTATGTCTCCCTTCTTGCATCAGTATAATAACATGATAAATCACAAATAATCTTTGCTGAAAAGTCCACTTCTGTTTCTCATTTAGTGTAAAGTGCTACATTGCCTTAGTTTACAAAATGGCCATTGAAAAATCCAACTGAACTTCAAATGATGTCACAGGAGAAGCTACTTAATTTTCACCAATATTTCACAAAAGATATTTCACATTCACAGTAGAGAACAATGAAAAACACTATTATCTTTTCTACAGAAGACTAAAATATGAGATGCAGCTGAACTTCAAAAGCCATTTCTTGAAAGGGAGTGTTGGGCATAAAGTGTCAGGCAGGCTTCTTAAAGAAAAAAGACAAAAATCAACATTGTCTGATAAATACATAATGAGTGAATAAAATGTAACAGGTAGAAATAAATTTTGTGGGGTGAGAATATTTCCTTATAAATACTAGAACTGTCAGTCCCCATGAAGAGAAAGAAGAGGGTTTTTGCTGTTATGTCATTGGAATAGGATTTTTGCTACTGAAGTTCAAGAATTGTATAATGGAGTGGAAGTGGCAAACTGAAGAAGGTAGATACCCAGCATGACCACTGACTCAAGCCACTATCAATCCCTTCTCAAACCCTATTGATACTTTCTTCTACATTTATTCTTTGCCAAATTCAGGTATTCAGGTGAATTCAGAAATTTTATTAGCCAGTGCATGACACGTGCCAGCCAAATTAATCCAGAAAAATTACAAACTTAGTCTTTTGTACTAATTTTGAAATCAAGCACTCCAGATCCCTATCTGTTTCTGTGGTGACAAAACTCTGTCAAATATGACCAAAATGTTAAGGATGATATATACATGATAGCATGTACACTAGTGGTTGCTATGTATCATGTTTCTAAGAAATTGACTCTGTCTTGAGAAATGAAAATGGGACCTACAGATATTTAGAAAATTGCAGGATCAAGTTGTGTCATATGTACAAACAATGCTTATTTAAATGGACTGGATAATTTCAGTCCTGATGGATATGTTACATGTGAGCAGTGTTGCAATCACAACACAATCCAAGTAAACAATCTATATAATTTTAACAAAAATGCAAGCTCAATCTTTTTAAAAGCAACTTATCTCTGTATCATATGTGCGATCTTACTCCCTTTATTCCAGTGCTCTGTAAATTCTGAAATCTCACCTCATCTGTACTATCTCATGACAAAGTGGCTGAACATACAGAATTACTTAGTTCCAGTGTAATTTAAATCCCTCTATGTGAATTTTAGGTCTGTGGTTACACTCTGAAAGTTTTTAACAATCAAAATTGAAATTATTTTGGAAGAATATCTTTTCTGCAGCAGAGTAACATGTAAAAAAATCCCCTATACAACCACAACTCAAATAAACATGAAACTGATTCTTTTCCTTACACTTAAAAGGGGTAAGTATATGTCAGGATGTATTTAAAGGAATGCTTCGTAAATCAACACACTCCAAAACCATCTAGAAAGTTTTAAATGATTTTGTCCTAAATGTAATGAACACTTTCATATAAAATACTACTCTAGCTGGATTGGGTTTAACAGTTGACATCCAAATCTTATTATCTGTAAATGTTAGTCCATATAAATTCCACTAAAATCTGACTTCAATTAGCTCTTCAATCAGACTTAAAAACTACAAACAACCCACCCCCCCCCAAAACAAAGTTCTGAATGTCAAGAATGGACGGTTACAGTCAGCATCACATAAACCATGGAACAGGAGACAGTGTATTGTTGTTCAACCATCCAAGATGTGGGCTGTGTAAAAGTCACTTCGGGGGAGCTGGTGCCTTCCTTTGCGTGCAGCATCCTTGTGCGCAGTCACCACGGTTTGCCAAGTCACTCTCTTGACTGGTAGAATAAAATATAGCCAGACTCTGAATTTTTTGATATATCAGAGGTCAGACCGTAGAATTCTTCAATAGCTTGAGCATCTATTTTCTGCAAAATAAATATTTTTTAATATGCTGTTAGATAAAACAAATACTAAGTACAGATTAAATTACTGCAATTAGCAAATTCTGTTTGCAATTTAAGCCATGAAAGGGTAAAGATTAGGGGCTGATTATTGCTGATCTCACTCATGAAATTCATAGGCATGTTTCTGTCACTGAACATAACTGAATTAGGCTTTTTCCAGTAACAGAGAGATTCCTTGGAATGCAGTAATAAACACTGTTAAAACACATAAATGTGACCATGTGATCCCATCTTTCTCAGATTTTCAGAAATCTTCCTCAAGACTTGCCCCATCCAGCATCCCAGTGCTTACTTTCCTTACCACTTGGGAAATCAGACTCAAAACCCCAGTTTTGTCAGTGGGCCACAATGACATAAAAGGGTTTGCATAAGAATGAATTTCAGAGTGTTCAGACAGAATCTGCAATAGCTGTGGGACAGATTCTACTCTAATCTACATTCAGGCAATCCCAGATCAACAACACAATTCAGACTTTCTTGTAACTTCCCTATTCAAAACTGAAAATTCTACAGCAATACTAGCTTTACTTAGTTCAATTTTACCAAGTGACACGGTTTTAATGAATTAAATATATTTTTTTAGATATAGAAAACATTCAAAATTAAACTCTTTAAGTCTGGTATTAAAAACATTTGATCTTTCTATGAAATAAAAAAATCCCTCTGACACTGACAGAGCACAAACTACAGGACTAATAATTTTGTTTACAATCTTTTTTCCTAACAGAATTGAAATAAACATTACAACCAAACTGTGGCTTTGTAGACTGGTGGTCTCTACCCAATTGTGCTCATGACCTTCAGCATACTGACCTCTACAATGTCATCATCAAACAAGAGCCAAAATCCATGACTTTTCACAATAGTAATGTAATGCCCTCGATTAGGTCCACTAGAAAGCAAAACAAAAACCCAAAATATTAGAATGTACTATTGAGTCCATTTTGAAAAGTCACATTTCTTTATGAATGCAGAATTATAACTAAATGTTATAAAAATCATGGTAAATCCACCTGTGGTGGTACTCTAGACATTTAGTCCTTTCCATTTTTATTTTAAGTTGTTGCAAAGCTAATCAACTGAAAGCTAAAGGTGTTATTTTCATCTGTGCCAGGACCATTTAGCAAATTATCCTACAGAACACTTAACAAGTTGCTCATGGTAGGCATCAAATGCATTTAAAACTGCAAGAACTAAGTATAGGGGGGAAAATGGACCAAAATGATCTGTTGTGAGACCTACATGATGACGTGTAGGCCTCACAACAGATGACATGATGAGAGTCTTTGGCCCTCACAGAGTCCTGGCTCCCAACTTTTTTAAGGGGTCTTGTGAGGAAGGAGGTAGTTTCATCAATTTAAGCCAGACTTGTGACTTTTGGAGACCTGAGACATTATTTCTTAAACAAGTACTGATTTACTATGAGGGATGTTGGTTAAATGGTCCAGCCCAAGACACATGCAAGTCCATGCAGCAGCAGGCTTTAAGTCCATCCTCCCCATATTGTGTGAGGGGTAGCTCAGCCCTTGGCCAACACCTGCCAGTAGCCTGTGACACACATGGAGGCGCCTCACCTTCCACAGTGAACAACTACAGCCACCAAGTCGTACATGCGATCCAGGTTGACGGCGTCGCCGGAGGTGTTGAAGAGCCGCAGCTCCAGGGGAAACACGACCCGGTAGGACAGCTTCGTGTACCTGTGCAGCTGCTCCATGTACTTGAATCGCTTGAGGTGTAAGGCAAGAATCATTGGCAGTTTTTTTACTCTCATCCTGTGAAACCATTAAGAATGCATATGATGAACACCTGACCAGTTCAAAGCCATTCTCTCTTCCCCTTATAAGCAAATGGCTGCATTATAAAAAGCACTTTGTAAGTAACAATAATCAACTAGAAGTAGCCTCTAGACTAAGACACAGGCCTTTAAATCTGTCTGCAGGCTCTCTCATCCACACAGAGAATGCATTTGGGATGAAAGGTTTCTAGGTATTTAAACAAAATAAATATCAAGGAGTAAGTTTGCCGGAGCCCAGGAGGAGCATGGTGAAACAGCCTGCTCTTTGCTTACCTCTTCTGTGCCTCTTGTTTACTGCAGCAAGTTTCACAGTAGTATTTCTGTTCACTACATAGTGTCTCTGTGTTACTGAAGTCTCTGTAAAAAAAATACAATCATCAGTTCTTTAAGGATATGAATACATTTACTTGGGCTGATGAACTGGAATCCAAAAGACACACAGGATGAAATCTTCACCCATTCCAGTTTTCTAAAGCATCTGAAGTGACTGTACTGGGGTTTGCAAACAGAGTTAGGATATGTGGCTGCTATGACAAGTTATACTGGGAGTTGAGGCCCTCTGTATGATACAAATAAAGGTCAGGTGTCTCAAAATGGGACCCCTCTCTGGTCTCTCACATAAAGGCACTGCCCAGACTTGGGTATAATCACTCAATTCATTCCATTTCTTTTTAAATTACTTGCAGAATAAAGCAATTTTAAGTGCACTTCTGCCATCCCCCAATATCTCACGTTTTATGGTGTTCTTCCATAAGAAAGGTTTGAATCCTCTTACAAAGAAGAAATAAATTGAACTTAGTTTCCTGCATCCTCTAACCTTTTGAACAGTTATCCAGAAGTTTCTAGATTATACTTTTCCATTTTCTAAAAAAAGAAATGGTATAGAAAAAAAAAAAAGAAGCTGGTATAGAAAATTTTGTAAATCCTGATCAAGTAAATACACTTGGAGATATTTCTGGATTGAGCTTTTAAAGTGACAAAGGCAGTGGAAGGCTGGTCTGATAGCATCTCAGTTCACAGAAAAGATTTGCTGGAAGTCACAGTGCTGATATGCTTTGGAGCAAAATTTAAGGTACCTAACACCACTTAACTGTAAAAAAAAACCAAAACAGTAATTATTTTTGTCTTCTCTTGTGTTACACTGCAGCTGAGCAGGAATTTTGAGAACTGTGAATGCAGATATAAGCACCTATCTTCCATTTTAAACACATGGGTTTTCCTGTGACTTTGGGCCCTAAATAGTTATATCAGAATTCCAGAACTGTCTTATTGAGTGTCCCTACCTTGTACCTGACAGGCTTCTGAACTCCAGGCAAATTCAGACACAAATAAATTCACTTCTATCACTGCAATTCACATTCATGGAGGCTGAAACCCCACTGTCTGCAACTTTAGCCTGCTCTCACACTAGGCAGCACCAGAATTGTCTTACAAGGCAAAGGGAGGATTCTGGATGATTATTTCTTCCTGACATCATCACTATAGGGGTAGGTGGGAGAGATGAAGACTACATAATTTGCTAGGGCATAGATATTAGAAGTTAATTACCTAACTTCATAAAAGCTTAAGGTTGACAGAGCATGACAAAGAAGCACTTCATATGACTGCATAATATTTTTAAAAACTGAGATTACTTTTACTGATTAATTTTCTTTGTAAGGTCTTAACACTGAGGAGAAAAAGCTGAAATTTAGAAAAAATACATATTTTGAAAGATAAGTTACAGCTAAATTTTGATCATAAGTACTATTTTTTATCTAAAAGAAAAGAAAACGTTACTAGGAAGGATTTGCTTCAGTGGTAAATACTGATCTCAATATGTGATTTCACATTTGAATTTAAACATAAAATTAATTTAATTCAGCCAATTCCTCTGAAAAGCACGGTAACCTTTCAGGTAAGTGAAGAGCTGAAATTTTAGAAAATATTAAAGATGAGTTATATGTGCAGGGAATGTAAGACTCAGTAGAATGTGCCTGTGAAAGTTTTAGGTTGGCTGTTAGAGAAAGAGTCTCATATTTATTTTCAAAGCCTGCAGTCTCAATTTTAAAAAAAAGCAAACAAATTTGGGGAATTTATTAGTTGTCTTCTCATCTCAAAGTGAAGCAAGGAAAAATGTTTTTCTAACATGAACAATCATGTGCAGATGGTAGGAATTTGATAGATATTGGTTTGCTCTATTCCAAGTCTCCCATGGAAGTTAATTAAACTCAAAGAGTTTCTGAATTCCTTTTAAAATATACTGGTTATTCTGATGCTATTAATATCTATTATTAGTATTATTATTTATTATTAGTAGTATTTATTTATTTATTAGTAGCATTGTGGTATCTATTCTTGGTAGTATTAGAATAAAATGTTTCACTGAAAAATGGTTAGTATTGAAATAATTTCAACTTCAGTAACTCTTTCAGCAATCAAGAATTTTCAGCATGGCACTTCTAATAGATGTTGAACAGTTAAAAACAACAGATCACTGACTGGAGTTCCCAAAGTCTGCATGTGCTAGAGCCACAGCCTTGCAGAACTCTTCTCTGGACCTGCAAAGCTAGTTTCAAGATTTGTCTAACTCTCTCCTATTCCATTAATAGTCCAATCTGCATTCTGTTTATATGTTATTTTAGTAAGAAAAAGAAATTTTTAAATATACCTGCTCAAGATGTACCAACTTATCATTGACCTTGTGCTTCCACAGCCTCTCTGCTACAGTGTGAAAGATGCTTCCTATTGCTTATATGCGTAAATAGTATTAATTTTGTGTTTTAGGAGATGAGAGAATTACTAGTGTAATATCAATTATTACACCAGTCAGGATCAAACTGACTGATAAACATTGCAACTCCAAGTGGAAATAAAAACAATGGATACATACTATATTTGTTATACGACTTTTACTGCTTCAGGCCCAGCTGTCTATCCTGTGCCAGAGGCTTGTATTCTTTCTGTCATTTAGACATCTTGAGCACACAAGGACTTTTTACATTTTGAAAAACTACAGAAATAAAAGAACAGTCATCTGTGGTGGTAAAGAGATTCATTATACTTAAATGTTATCTTGCACAGGTTTTCTGTATTTGACCTTTTAAATGCAGCAGCCCTTAAAGCTATTAGGACACAGCAAAGCAGTTGTTAAAAAAAAGGAAACAGCAAAGATTGCAAAAAGAGTAATAACTTGGATGTTCCCATTGAAAGAAACCACAAAAGCACTTACATTTTGTGTAATAATGCATAATACCAGCAGTAATGAGAGGAAATCCATATTCTAACTGAATATATGTTTTCTAACAGAAGTAGAAATGTTGCTAACATAAAACACAATAGAATAGATGAGAGGTGATAACTCTCCTCCTGTTGAATCTAAATAGTAAATAGTGGCCTGTACCACCTCAAGAAGAGAAAAATTGGGATTTTGCTTTCTTTTATTTCCAAAAGGAGCAATGGATAAACTTCAAAATGCATGTCATGATGTTGGAGTAAAGGCTCTACACTGGAATGCATAAAGAGACTTAGGGCATTCATTCTTCTCAGGATTGTATTGATCTCTCTTGGAATATTATGTCCTGTTCTAGACAGCAACTTCAAGAAACAGAGTTGAAGAGAGAGGTGCAATAGGAGAGAAGGCTGAAGAGTAATAAACATGTGTAGAGATCCAGAGAAGATAGCCTAAGAAGGAGAAGTTGAATGATCTTAGGCTGTTTAAATTTTTTTCAAAAGTGATTACATTCTTCCTGTATGTAAAAGGCTACTGAAGGGGAATGGGGGCAACCCCTGGCTTATGTCTCAAGTACACAGGGCATGTAGAAATTGGCTTGAACTGAAACACCAAAGATTCATATTACACAGCAGGAAAAACTTATTAGTACTAAAGAGCAAGAAGGGCTGGGATAGACAATCAAGATAATACTGCTGAAAAGATCTTCTGGAACAGGTTGGATAAGCATCCTCTCTAACATGAAATAGGGGATAACCTCCTTGGAGTCATTTCAACTCCACCATTCACTTGCTGGTTGCAGTTGTGCAGATGCAGTTCTCACATGTCTTAAGTCACAGTCACTGTCTGTTCAGTAGAAAAAATGCTATTGGTATTTTTGTGAAGTGCTTAATCTGCCTTTACATAAAATGGCCATTCCCAACAAAACTTTTCCAAGAAGATAAAAATCAAGAATGTAAATAAAAAACTGGAGAAAGCTTTCTGATTCAGGAAATAGTACCTCACATTCTTTCTTTCTTAACTCTCACCTTGGGATGGCACACCAGGAAACCCCTCCTAGGCATTCCAGGATAACTGAATAATGCAATTTCAACCTTGATAGCAATTTTGAATTTTGAAGGAGTTTGACCAATTGATAAACTTTACCTTAGAACAGCAACATATTGTCTTAAATATAGGTAGTGGTTTATTGTATTAATGTCAAAACTCTGGACATTTTAAATCTCTCAGGATAATCACTCATGTAAGACTGAAAAGTTTTTGATGTCTAGATTTTTTAAGTTAGGAATATACTAGAAGCAGAACAGAAATTTGGAATAAAAGACTTCACATAATTTTAGGATGAGACACAGAATAAGCTATTTCTGATAATAAAATAGACTTTTGAAATATTTTGCCCTCTGTGGACTCTAGAACTCATTCTGCAAAACACACACTTAACTTTTAATATGTCTATGAATCTTAATCAACAAAGCACTGGTGTAGAAGTTTAAAGACAAGCACATTTAAATCTCTATGAAGCCAATTAAAATTCAGCAGCAATTCTTCCAGACAACAAAGCAATCAATTATTTTCCCTGAAAGTTGATTTATATTCCTCTTTCAAATAGAAACATTGAAAGAGAAAGGGTGTAAAGCAAAGTACAATAATGTATATTTTGTCATTAGAAGAAATATCCCGTTTAAAGTCTTTTTCTCCTGCTTAGGGTAAGTTCAAATCTAAATGTTATTGTACTTTTCTTTTCTATACCTACTAGACCTGAAAAATCTAGCAGTTAGAGCTATCTGCTGAAAAGATGCATTCACTTACCTTAGACAGTGTGTAATCGATGTGTTCTGCTCCACATCAACAGAAAGGTCAAGAAAATCTTCATCTTTGCTACTAACCTGTTGCAAAACACATACATGTAAAACAGAGATGCCATACATCTAAATGCTGCTTATATCTTTAGCAAATGCTAAAGATATTTATTTGTGTACAAATTGCTCTTACATAAAAGTAATTAATTCTAATGCTTTAATTTTTTTTAGTTCAATTTGATTAATGTTCAGTGTAATATTTATTAGTAACTCTACTAATCCAGCTTTCATATAATTTAAGACAGCTTCTGTCTACTCCGCTTATCCAATCCCACCAACCATGGGCCATCAATGTCAGCCTACTGTTCAGTAAAGGTGAACCATCCTCCCCTACATCATCTGGGATTGGTGCATTAAGTATGTTTCCTTGTTATGTAACACAGCCTACTTTCTTTTATTATCAGAAATTTGTTTACCCTTTGTATAACATATTGCAATATACATTCACATTTTATTCTTACATAATTATTTCCACTATTAAGGATGCAATGAAGATCATTTCCAAATATGTTTCTGTCACAAAAGTCATACTTTACCATGTTATCCTTTCTCTCTAGTGAGTATTGAAAAGTGTGGGTTTATATTTCTGGTTGAGACAGCTACATTTCCCCATTGGATATTGTTCCTGGTCAATATTTTGATTAAAACAATTTAAAATATTAAAGGTAAAAATGGCTATTTTGCAAAATCATTTTGGTGTTGCCAATCTTTTTTTTTAGACAGAACAAGAGGGGAAAAATTTTACTGAGGAGTTTTTATCTAAAATATTTAAGTCTGAATTCCTTCAGAATGACAGATCCTGATTTTTGCATTGAAAATTATTTTTCACTAAGAGTATTTAATCTTAAAGGTGAAGTAATATTAACAAAAAATCATCCAAATGGCTAATTCTTGTAATACTTCAACTGAGTCAAAAGACTGCAGAAATACTTACTGCATATTAATTCAGTCATATTAATAACAATGTTTTTATAAAATGTTGCATGAACACCCCATGTTTTTGCCTCCTATTATATTTCTTTAGAATAACTAAATCAGATGGGAAAATAGTGAAGTCCAAATCAAGAACTTCTGTGAGGAAATGAATCCATTGTTCTGGCAGAAGTCCCTCACACTCAGATTTTTGCAGTGCTGTGGATGTGATAGTTATGTACCACCTCGAGCTCATATTTGTTGCTATGCCAGGGATACTAGAACCTTGGTGAATGCAGCCCATATCAGACCTGAATGCAGAGAAACATGTTTGGCTGGATTAATTTTGGTATTATCAAAAATGTACAGAGGCATAATGCACACCCAACTGAAATGAACAGCAGTTCTTCAAACAAAAATCCTCCCTGAGACGTGACTTGACCCACAGAGGACAGGAAACCACAAAACTGGCAGCAATCAACTGCAGTATAAATATACAGCTAAAATTTGAAAGATAAAGCAACAAAGCTTCAGAGAACATTGTGTCTCTACAGCTGGAGCTAGAGTTCTGTCAGACACACTGAATATCATGAGAACTTAAACACTTGAAAAAGTCCTTGGCAGGCATTGTGCTCCATCTGAGTGCCTCAAAGAAGCTAGGAATTCTGTTATTGATTCCTGCACATCAAATATTTCCTGGAAGGGAAGATGAACTACTTAGAGCTAGAATAATACAGATTAAAACTAAAGGTAGCTGGAAAACCAGATTCAAACTGCACTCTTTGTAAGTGAGAATAAGAATTGCTGAAATCTGAATGACTCTTCACGTACTACTTATGAATATCTTAGCAAAGGAATAACTTTCAATCTGTTTTACTATTTTCCCAAGATTTCAAGTTACACTAATACAAGGAAAACACACTGGAAAAATATCCTGAGTAGTTTACAGTATTTCTGTACTCAGAGGAAGCTACAGACAAGATCCATTTTCTATAAAGCTTCATCACTTTGAGTTACAAGCACAGAATTGTGCAGTTATGCTGTTACCCAAGGACACGTCCTCACTTCACCAGTTTCTCTGAGTAAACATTAGATAATGATTTAGAATTAAGCCACAACTATTTAGAGAAGCTCGTCAGTTAAAAAATAATTCTAACCTTTCACTTATTTTAACTTGCTATTACCCAAGATTTTATAGTTGAAATAGATTGAATAATTAATTTTCAGTATCTCTCTCATGTGTTGACTTATACAAGCTTGTTCCAAACTTGCTCCAACATCTTATGTCTACTGTCATTGTATCTCTTCTCCTCACCATCCTCCTCTGACCAAGTTCCTGGAAAAGCCACACATATTTTCTTGGAATACTATTCTTTATGATTAGAAATATCAGACTATATTCTTTTACACATCTGGTAGGACATGGGTAGAGTACATCTCACCAAACTTCAGTTGTGTAAACCTCAGCTGGCTGTCTGAAGATACCTTCTCTGGGCACCTTTTCCCATCTTAATGCTGCTAATCTAATGCTGTGCTTTTTTTTTTGAGGAAGCCCATAGTAGCAGTACTGATCTTAGTAAAAGTACATCATTCTTAGGCCAGATCAGTTTGTTTGCCCAGTTCTCAGCATTGCTGCACCAACAGTTGCAACAGCTTAGTGACACCATGGAGCCAGGACAAGCTGTATGGAACAGAACACCAGCTACTGCTAAAAACTTTATTTCATGAAACAGCCTAGAGACAGATGGAGAGAGTTTCCTGCAAAAGCTCCTTCACAATCTCCATCATCTGCAGGAGTTGAGGTAACTAGTTCATCCTTGATGCCTATCAACTTTGCTTTACCAAGAAAAGGTTAAGTGATGTTAATTCCAACCTTTGTGGAAGGTCAGTGTCACTGTTCTTCCCAAAGATTTTTTTTCCTGTGGTACTCTTTCATGCAACCTCACAGGAACAATTTAAAAAAATTATTTATTTTCTCTTTCAATAGGAGCATGTGTTTGAAAAAGACAGTAATCAATAGGAGACTTGCAATCAGTTTTCCCAACAAAAAATTAATTTTTACTCGTAGCTCAAACATAAGGGATTTCAAACTGACATCATCCTATAGAAAATATTAGGGAGAGAAAAAAAACCAGTTTGTTAAAAATGAACCCTCTGTATACCTGTCAGACTCTTAAGATGGAATTAACACAAAACATCTTAATGTTTCACTTATATAAATATGATGTAAATAACTGCTCTCAAAGTTACAGTGATAAGGAAAGGTATTGATTCACTAGCAAGGATTTTAACTATAGACATATGTATTAGGACAGCAAAACTTGGCAGAGATTAGCCAAGTAATGCTTAGAAAAATAAATTTTTAGAAAATAATATACTCACTTCAAGAAGTAAATTCTACAGGAATATCCACAATTCTCAGATGTCTGAAAAGATTCATATATTTATATATACAAAATGTATCTACCTATTAATGGGCAACAACCAAAAAAAAATCTATCCCAATGCTTACGGTTTCACAGTTCAAACATCTAGTTTCGTTAGTCAGTGTTCCCTGAAAAATCTCATGCACCCAGGTCAGTTCTTGTTTATTGTTCTCTTCAGCTTCATTCATGTTGCCATTTTTCAGTTTCCCATTTTGCTTTTCCTGTTTCTTCTCCTCCTGCAAAATGTCTGCAATGGTGTTGAGCAGGTAATTTAAAAACTCATGTGCATCCTGCTGCATGTAGTTGTCAAAGAGATCTGTGAAGAAGAGAGTCAAGATTTGTACAGCTGAATATCCTTTCCTCAAAGAAAGAAAATTATTTTTTCCCCAAGTACTTGTACTGGCCCTTGCTCAGCAAAGTATTTGGAATCATCCCAAAGAACAGTTTTGCAGCCAGTCACCCTGGTTTCAGTGAAGTTACTTAGGGGGAAAGCTTCATCTCACCTAACTTAAGCTGTCTAGAATAGTTACACTCATTGGAGTGGTTGTGTAGGCTCCCATTACAGTCAATGAAGTAAGCAAGAGAGTGACTCATCCTAAATTATTTCCTTACACTAGACACTTACTGCCTAGCTTTAGTCAGCACTGACTTCCATCCCCATATTCCGAGCCCCTCAGACACTCAGGAGCATCACAGAGTTTTAACAGTAACCCACATGGCTGGGAAAACTGAGGCCATAGGATGCTGACACACATTTGTGTACTGTGTCTGGGATGGAGTTACCTTTCCTCACAGTAGCCCACAGGATGTTGTGTTTTGTAGGTGTGACTAAAATGGAGGTGAAGATGTACCAGTGTTTCAGCTGATGCTGAGCAGCACTCATACAGCATCAAGGCTGTCCCTCATCCTGCCCAAATACTGGTAGACTGGGTGAAAGAGGTTGGGAAGGGGACATAGGTGAGGTAGCTGACCCAAACTGGCCAAAGTCATATTTTGTGCCGTGTGACTTCATGTTCATCATTAAAATCTAAGAGAAAGATGGGCGGGTTTTCATTATTAAGATATATCTCTTCCAAACAAACTTCTACGCATGCCAAGGCCCTACGTCCCAGGTAGCATCTGGAAATCGTCTCTTGATGGGAGGTAGAGAATAAATCCCCTTTGGTTTTCGTTTGTTTCTGCATGTAATTTTTGGCTTTTTTTTTTTTTAATTAAACTACTTTGATCTCAACTCATGAGGTTTTTTCCTCTTATCTTCTCCTTTCACCCTGCTAAGAGGAGGAGTGAGAGACAGGCTTGGTGGGCACTTGGCAGCCAGTCAAGGTTAACTCACTTCAAGTAGTAATAATAACACCACCTAACAAAGCTCATTTTTCACACACAAGTCTGATGAGAAAAGACTTGTCCTGTTCAATACGAATTCCTTGCAGGAAGAGGGGAAAATATCCCAGTGGTGATTTAGTACAGATTTCTCCAGTAAAGGTTTAATTCGCCCACCATGTCAAAGAAAAAAGAATGTGTGTTCTCAGAAATGTGTATTTTTATCTCCCTGCTCCTGAAAAAGTTCACATGGATTTCCTCAGAAAATATTGTACAGAACCATTGGCTTTGTAGTGTCTAGCCTGGACATATAAGCAGGGTAATACACACTGACTCTGGCACTAATTTAAAAAAGCTGAAAACATAAGATCCAGTCTTTACAAGTGATCCCCAACAGTGTGGGGACATTTATCACTAGATGACTCAGAGTTAACTTTTTCATCATTTCAAATGTCTGCTCTGAAATGAACAGTCTGCCCATTTATATGCTGTCACCAGGAAGCAATTTCTTCCAGGTGTTTGACTCATACTTTGTCTCTTCATTCAAAGCCTCTCTGTTTCTAAGGATACCATCCATACTGATATGAATCCAGGCCAAAATGGAGCTGACAGGCTTCTCTTTCTCAAGATGTTCCTCATATCCCTTAGACAGAACTACTACAAGATTAGGTATAGCTGTTGCCAACTTAATGGTCAAAAGGAGTCTGATGCTTCACCAAGTGAGACTGTGTCCACCACTTCCAAGAACCAGAGCAGCAGCTGATGTGGAGTGGATTGACCACCCCACGTGTACCCAGCTCCTTATCCTCCATTGCAGACAATTCCTCTGGAATTGGTGGTGCCTGCAGCCTTCCTAGGTCACACAGTTTCTGTACTGCCAGCTGCCCTCAATATTTCTCTCTGCCATACTCCACAAAAAAAAATTTAAAACTGACAGCAGTGTCACCCAATTCCCAGCCCTAGCTCACCCTACAGTAAGGTCTGCCCCACCGTGCTGTGAAAACATCACTAATTCACACATCTCTGGGAGCCTATGAAATCTGCTATGGTTATTTCAAGCATAATATCATATACACAGATGCTAAAATAATAATACACCCCACAAAGTACTAAAAGCAATTTACAAATCTAACCTCTGTTTCTGATTAATATGATCACATTGCTCAATATGTATTTATACTTCTTTGATCAATGCATTAATACCTTTCAGTTTTACACTTACCATTCTCTTTTCGTAACCTTGATATGAACTTCTTTGGTGGAATAACTCCAACTTTTTTCTTCTGAGTAGCAATACTGTGGAAAAGATCTGCCAGGCAAGTCAAGAGGTTTTCCTTCTTTTTCTGTTGGGCCTTGTATGATAATACATTTTCCCGAAATGGGCGGCAAAAGTACAATGCCTGCAGCACAGAGTTACAGTAGCAGGTGTTCCCAAACTGCCATGCAGAATTAAAAACAAGATTAATCCCTGTGCATCACAACAAAACTAGCTGTTCATTCAAATTCTGACTTCTGTCACTGTCACAAACCAGCCATTTTGCCATTTAGTTGCAGTAGAAATATATTTCCACAGCCACCATGACACTTCATGGAAAAAAGGGCGGTGTTCTAAATTAACTAGAATACAAAGTAAAGATTTCCACTTGTAAGAAAAATATTTATTGTAGTGGATTTCATTAAGTTTATTTCCATATCTGGGCTCTATCTTACTGCTCAGTAGCAGAATGACTAATATTTTCAATGGAAAAAATTATTATATCTGTATCATTTCTATGGGAACAACAAGTGATTAAACACTCTTCTCACTCATTTTCCCCTTGGTCAAATAAAAAAGCTCCTCCCAAGAGTTGCCAATGCAGAAGGCTGTACCTAAACTTGTACATACTTTCATCACTTCCTCTGTCCTATTTCACACCTAAAATAGACTTTTAATTTTATTTAAGTGTATGTTCTAATCCCTGGAAATATTCATAGAGCTGTTCTCCCTGGGGGTGTATGAAGCCATCTTCAAACATCTGATACAGTTTTACAACCCACTTTGCCTAAAATTGCAACATGAGCAGCACTTAAAAAAAAAGACAATCCTGAATTAGAATAAGATTGATAAGAGCAGGGGAGAGAGAAAAACAAAACAAAACCAAACCAAGGAACTAAGCAAATTTCAAGTAACATCAAAATCGACCACTTACATTGACCAATCCAAAGTAGTGCTCATTGATTGGAAACTGCTCTGGGCCAATGTCTTTTTCCAGAGCAGAGGCATTGGTGCCCTATACAAAGGAAAAAAAAAAAGGAAAAAATGTCAGAACACAAACCAAACAACAACAACAACAACAAAACATTAAAAAGGAAGAAATTATTTAGAATATTAAGATCCTAAAGTAAAATTATAGGCAGTATCAAGACAAAAAAAGAATTCATTCCTTTTAGCTATGATTAGCCATGCTAACTCTGTCTTACTGATAGGCACAACGGTCTCATGAGCCACTAAAAATATTTGCAAATCTGGATAGTTGAGCTGGCCTGACATGGACCCTCTAGTAGCAGATGACTAGAAATGAACAGGTCACAACAGTGGTTCTTCCCACACCCACCTCCCCTTTATTTTTACTGTGTACATGGCCATCTGGATCCCATTACTCTCTTGTCTCATAAAGACAGTAATTGATCTTAAATACAACCCTAAAAACCAGTTCTTAGATGGAAGGCAGGTTTTCTAAGCATTACTGAAACTTCTCTGAATCCCTTTGAATTAAACATCAGCCTGTAACAATACCTGGGCTTCAGATTGGCATCCAGTTCTAGTAACAACACAGATGCTGAAAGCAAGTGTAATATATCTGTTATTTTGTCCTATCTAACATTAAAGAGCACATAAATCCAAGATAGATCTCTTAGTATGTTCAGCTGTATCTTCAACATCAAAGTTGTTTAGGTAACTGCTGGTCTGTAAGCACAACCACTAATTTGGTATGTTATCTGTCATTTTGCTATATTAAAATGCCCATTTTTGAACAAGCTTAAATTACTCAGCAAGTAAGGTAGGTTGCTGCCAAAGCAATTGTCATCACTCCTATACACATTATAAGCTTGGCTCCATCCTCTGACACCCACACTGCAGATACTTACAGATGTTGATGAGTTCCCCTCTCAGCTCTCTCTCCTCCAGGCTGAACAGGCCTGGCTCCCTCTGCCTTTCCTCACAAGAGAGATGCTCCATTCCCTCACTCATCTTTGTTGCCCTCCACTGGACCTGCTCCAGGAGCTCCTTGTCTCTCTTGTCCCTTCCCTCTCTTCTCCCCAAGGCCTGATTTCTGTTTCCTTACTGCACCTACCATCACCACTGCTTGCCAAATTAGATTATTATATCATGCCAACGCATTAAAAGAAGATTTAGTCAACAGCATTAGCAGTGTGAAACTCAGCGCAGGTACTCTTTGAGAATTTGCAAGCCTTGAAAGTAAAACATCTCCTTTAAGTTGGCAGGTTCCAGAAAAGCTCCCAAGATTTCATATTTCATATCCCCTTCTCAGATCTTTTTCCATTCTCTCACTTTCTCTCACATACACAGAGTTCATTGCTCAGACCAAGTATATGTTACTTCTCAGAAAATCCTTTGAGACTAAAGTACTTTACAGACACAGGCCTTCATGAGAAGCTTCATAATGGATATATGTTCTCACCAGACTCTGCTAAGCCTTGGTGAGAAACTTGAGAAAAAAGATTGATTAATACAAAGCAATTATTGGCTACCATTCAACAGAGATGACAGTGTGATAATTATGTAAGTCTCATATGAAGATTAGTTTCATTGCTTGGAAAGTCAGCCTTGCCAAAGATGCACATATTCAGCAAACCTTTCCAAGAGGGAAGAAGCTGATAAATATTTGCCTATCTGATATTAGCAGTGAAGCAAACAGCCACTGTTACCCACAAAACCTTGTCTGATACAAGAGAAACATGACTGCAAAAGATTAATGCAGCTTCTGAGGAAAAACATCTTCACATTAATACTCATTGTACAGCATTCAGATCAAAGCAAAGGTTTTCTTTGAATTCACTTTGAACATTACAATCGAGCTCCCTAAAAGAAAAATGAAATGGGTGGTTTTTTCCAGTTTTATAGGAAGTATTCTCCACACTGAAATAAATTCTCCCTCTACAGTTCATGGAAAATATTATCTCTAAAAAGTAACCTCCTACACTTTCATAAAACTACAGGTTAGTGTATTCTGTTAGACAAATATGATGCAAGTGCTCTGCTAACTAGTTGCTCCTACATTACTCATTTGCCTTTCCTCCAGGCCAGGCTTTCTAACTTCAAAGGATGCCAGATGGCTGGACAAACCCTTTCTTGTATTTAAATTTTCTTGTAAATATTGTGAGAAAGATCAAGAATCAGGATTAACCAAACAATATTATTACTGAAAACCAAACAAATTAATGACGTATACTAACCAATCTTCATATAAAAACTCCACATTGCCCAGAAATTTCTAAAGTACCTGCTGTTGAAAAAACCACATGCTTAGTAACATCTCATCATGGAGCTTTTCTACCTCTCCCAATCCAGGCCTTGGCTGTTGCAAATATAAAATAAAGTACAGTGTGACAGTGACCCAACAAAACAGTGAGGCTAAATTCAATCTTTGAGTAAACTGACATAACCTACTCAGACTTCATTAGGAGTAGGGCCTTCTTGTGTCAAAGGCAATTTCAGTCAGATTTTTATTTATTCTGAGGTCTCCAAAAGGATACTGTTAAATCCATGGAAGAAGAAGTCTAGGAACGTGGGTAAGAGGCAAAGAGGCACAGAGACCTGATGCTTCAAAGAAGGATATATTCCTTATATGGAGAAAAAAATGTAGACAGGCCACTTAGTAAAACTCAAACCATGTCACACTGTATATAAATTACTTGTTTTGCATATGAAGTCTCCTTAATAAGCAGTTGACATGAGGACAGAAGAAGGAAATTTTTCCAAGAAAGTATATCAGGAACTGTACACCCAATCCAGGTTTAAACTGGAAAAAGTATATTATTAGGGATGTGTTAAAGGTGGTTGAGAATTCAGCTTAAATCAACCATATAAAATGGAAAACATATTCATTAGTCTACTGATGTTAATCTACAAACATCAACCATGACTATTTTTCCAGGGTGTTTGTGTTTGTTCTCACTCCCAGCAAGTAATTTTGATTACTTCTACAGTGAAAACCTGCTCAGACATTTTAATGCAACCACTCTCTATTGTTTTTTAAAAGCTTCAGCTAGGAGGAATATCCTACCACAACTGAATCTACTGTAGTTCCATAAAAATAAGCAGGACCAGCGGTGTAGCTACAGAGCCTGAAATGAGGAGAGGCTGCATAAGTCAATGAAGTGGGATTTGGGAGTATTAAATAAAGTCATATCAGAGTATAGAGACAATAAAGGAGACTGGCTCCTTCTTAAAAGAATACACTAGTGAAGGAAATGCAGTGGAGTGACTGTGGTATGCAGACCTTATGAGGGTGAGAACTAGGTCAATGTGGAAACTCCTACTGTGCACTCTGTGGTGTTGGAACCTTGATTTCCCAGTTTTACCACTTAATTCAACAATCAGTATTCAGCCCTCATAAAAAAACATACAGCTAGAGACATAGCCAAGCACAGGTCAATTCAGGCCAAGATTTTTGCCACAGCATGGCTCCAAAAACATTCAGCCCATATGACCTATATTTTTTCCTCTTGTTATTTTGTCCTGGACTTTCCAAAGAATAAGGCTGCTGGTTTTCTTTTCAGTTGAAATTTCTGATTATGTTGCAAAGAGTTTCATTTGTGCTTTGGATCACATGAAATAGATTAGGTAAAAAAAACCCCTGCTGTTCGTTTACACTTTAGCATATATTAAAAAAAAAGTCAGGATAAAAAAGAAGTCACCAGATTAGTTCATTAAATCACATGTAGAAAAGTAATGTAAATACAATTATTTTATGGAGGATGAGAAATGAACAAGAGCTAATAAGAAAGATAGTGTCAACAGAAGACAGCAAAGCAGACTAAACTTTGTACTGTGACAGAGCTATAAAAATGGCTCTAACTTTCTAGAAATATACATGTGTTCAATTTAAAGTAAACGGATACAGTAAAGAAATTAGACCCTTCATAAGCCACTATTAAGTGGGTATCACTAAATAAACAGAAACACGGTATGAAAAATAAAAAAATAATTAAATTTTTCTTTGTACAGAAAAATATGTCTGTACAAAGACAAAAAAAAATAAGAAGAAATATCATGTTCACAAGAAAATCTAAAAAATGTAACAGAAAAACATATAAAAATTGAATAATTAAAACAAACTTAAATACACGAAGAGCAAGAGATAATGAAGGAAGATTGCTGGTCCATACGAAGGGTTTCGGACCATATATATTTATAGATTAGATTTCTTTTTTCTTAGTATTTGGGGAAAGCAAGAGCAACACCATAGTTTCTTGAAGGGAGAAACTGAAGACTTAAGACAAACTAATGATGATGTTTGGGCTGGTAGAAGAAAAATTAGAGTAAAAATAGAAATGGCTTCAGGGCTAGACAGCCTGAGTTGAAGGATTTTGGAAGGCACAGCACATGGAAGGGAAGGAAAAAAGAAAATAAAGAAAGATGAGGAAGGCCTCCTGGCCAAAAAATGGCGGTGATGGATAACTCAAAAGAGAGGAGGTAATTGTAAAAACCTGAAATTAGCTCCCAGAAGCAACACAAAGAACCAAGAGTAAAAGGAGAACTAACAATAGCACAGCATGCAGCATACATGTAGCTACTTTCAAAGATGCATCACCTGTCCCCAGTGCTGGACTTTGGCTATCCTCAGAAACAACCTCAACTTTCAGAGAGATATGGTGAGTAACTGAAATAGCCGAACCAGCCTTCTTAAAAACTCATCTATATTAAATGCCAAATGTGAAGAATTTCTGTAATTTTTTAAAGTTCAAGTCCCACAAGATGGTTGAATTTAACCAGATTAGCTCTCTCTTCATTCTGTGAGAAAATGCTTTTTGTTCCTCCAGCAAAGCTATTTTGGGTCTTTTTGACCACAAGAAGAAAGAGGAAAGAGACGAGTCTATGAAAACACAGAGGAGATCATAGTAAACAGCAAAAGAACCTTGACTGACTAAAAAACCACTGTGTATACAAATTTTTTTAGGAGAGATGATTTATCAAAATATATCTAAATAAATTATTTTTGTGTGTTTTTTCCAAAGACTCTGCTGATCATTAAGGCAAATTATA